CGGAAGAGAGCTCTGATTGGAGTGCGAGATGGCAGAGGGAACTTCTTCCCTTCTGATTCCAGAGGAATAAGTGATCTCAGTTAATGCTCTGGTGATTTCTTTGAGATCTTAAAAAAAGCAGAGGACTCGTGGAATCTGTCACATGAGCGTTTTCCTCTCCTCTAACAAGCACTGACAGTCTAATTACTGGAGCTACGAGCAGCTGTCGAGTTAGCCAGGGAGACAGAGGAGCTACATGTGTTCTATCCTGCCGCCGGCTCTGAGCCTTCGCAGCGGGCTGAGGCAGCCGCCACGCCGCGGCGTGCCCCTCAGAAGCCTCCCAGGCAGCGGGGGGAGCCGTTTGGTGCCTCGCCTCCAGGCCTGCACCAGAGTTTCCGCGAGTACGGGCTGCACGCCCGGGGGTTCGTGCGTCGGGTACCGTCAGCGCGGGCGGCGAGGGGAGGGGGGCCACGGGTGAGGCGTGGCAGGTGAGCCGTGGCAGCGGCTTCAGCCCGGGGACCCCCCCAGCGGAGATTTCGCTGGCTCTGGGAGAGGAGGAACTCGGTACTACGCCTTGGCACGAGTCTGCTCTTTCTTTCCTTCCTCTCAAGTTCCACTTCCTTGCCCCAGAATTCCTATTATTTTTCATGAGATCCCAGTTCCCATTTGGTTGCATTCAGCCTCCTCTGCTGACTTGAGCTTGCGTGCAAGGGGGAGCAGAGGGGAGGAATGCTGAGCCTCCCCTGGTGAGTGTAATAAAGCAGATGTCCCTGCTGGCAGCAGCAGCCTCCAGGAAAGCTGTATGAGTGGGGCCCACTCACGGACCGCACTCACCTCCCACTTCAAGTAGCTCACAACTGCTTTGCGTGAGATTGATTTATTTATTTTAAAACCAGACTGGTGCCCCTCGCAGTGGTCTGATCGGTGAGCCTATCGGGACGTCCTCAGGCAGCAGTAGTTTTAAGCACACAGAACTAAACGGCTTCCTAAGACTCCGCACTAGGCAGGAGCTCACACTGCGGGAGATGGACGGGGTCTGCTGGCCGACGAAGCTTTGGACAACTGTGCACCCCCTTCCCTACCCCGCTCGGGTTCCCCACTCTGCCCTGGCCGCAGGGGCGGCCGCAGCTCTGCAGGCGGAGCTGGGGACCAGGCTGCCTCCAGCAACAAAGAGCCGTGGCCCCGGACTCAGCGCAGGGCTCCGTTCTCTGCCAGCAGGAGACCTCATGGGGAAAACGCGCTCGAACATGACGGGGGGGACAAGGGGAGAGGAACAGATTCTTTTATTTTTTTTTTTTTGTAAAGGTGATTCGCAGTTTGTTCAGCTCTTAATAACGTGAGCTCCTGAGCTTGAATTTTACAGCTGAGAGGACAAGTCGGGTTTGTGTCGGGCTGGCTGGAGATGTGCGCATCCCCTTCTCTCCTCCCAATCCTGGAACTTCTGCCGCTCCCAGGAACCACCCCCAGCCGTGCTCTCTGGGGAGGTCCCTCACACGCCGCACGGCGAGTCGAGGGATGAACGGATCCTCCTCAGCGCTGGGCACCAGCGGGGCTCCAGGGCTGTTAACAGTAACAAACTGTCTCCAGGTCATGTAGCAGACATCCACTGTACACGGCTGTTTAATACAGTGCACCCCGCTAACAGCCAGTCACAAACATAAGATGTTTAAAATAGAGAAAATAATTGCAGAGAAATCAATTTCTAAAAATAATGCAGAAGGTAATTCTTCCAGAAATTGGTCACTTGTGAACAAATATTTAGAAAGAGAAACTGTTGTGCCTTGCTTCTATGAAAATATTAATGCTAATGATCAAATATCAGGACTAAAACCTATGTTAAGTTAAAATGCAAAAAGCTCCGAGTCACCCTTTACCATTAATTTAAATGACTTAGTAACTCTCCCCCTTTTTTAATTTGATCCAAACAAATCCAAAAAATCTGCAAACGTTATCAGAATGCAATGTTTAAACTAAACACAAATTTAACTTGCATTAAGAAAGCCACTAAGCATATTCAGGTTAGAAATGGAGTCACTGAGATTTGGGTGATTAGGTTTTCGTTTCCTTTCTAGGCTGTAAGAGATTGAGCGATCCTTCATAGCAGACTAGAAGGAAAGGGAAATAACCTTTAGTATTCTTAGTTTTAAGGGAAGTTTAACCTTTTCTCACTCTGTCCTTCATACTAATATAACCTTCTCCATGGAAGTATTTTTACTAATTATTAATGCTAGAAAGGTACATGAGCAAAACAGCTATTTTTTTGTAACAGAACAGATATCCATAAAATTGCTACTGTTACAGTTTGGCAAAAGAGTAATTCATGTGTTGCATCTGATTACTGTCTCTAGTACAAAATTCACCTGGAAAAGTCAACCATTCATTTATGTTACTAGTGAACAAGCCTGTCCTAATTTTGGCACACCTGACATTCAGTTACTGTGATGATTTTAAAAGAAACTGAATTGAGGTTCACTGCTATAAGTTAAATTCGGTAATTTTATAATGGAAATGAAAAATGAGAGCCTATTTCTCTTCCTGTTTACTTCAAGGAAAACATAGTGGCATCACTGGATACTGAGAAAAAATTCTGAGCGTGACACCAATTTCCACAGACAGATTAAGGCGTTATTCCTGTGAGTCTACACTCATAAATATAACAATGACTTTGGGCCTATACAGGCAATGATTAACTGGAGAAAAAAAGGGAAAGAAAACAAAGAAGAAAAAGTGTTTAACATCACTCTCAAAGGTAATATTGAAGTATAACAAGCAAAAATGTGAATTACAGTACTGAGTGACTTACAGTTTCTTTTTAGCAAAGGACAATTAAAAAATCTGCTTATGTGACAATTTCAGTAATAAGTTCTTGTTACAAGAAGTCTTAATTCTTAAATTCTTAGCATATCTATTGAATAAAAAAAATATCAAATGTACGCAAAAAACAGCGATCCATTGAATTCTCATACGTTAAGACTGTACTTTAAAGTGGGAATTCAGATGCCGAAGAAAATCTTCCTTAGATGTTATAGATGGTGGGAAAACTTCTCGACAGAATTCACATATTCCACACTGATTCAGTTCAGAGTCTGTATAAGCTTGTGCCAGCAAATCATTGTCTTGAGGCTGCCAAACGAGCTAAAAGAAACATAAAATTATTATTGCTGTGATTTACCATGTCGTTTACATTATGCTGTGGTTTTTATTTATATTAAAAAACCCCTCCTCTTTAAACTAGGTGCCAGCTGCACCTGCCTGACCAGAGACATTAACAAGAGTCCTCATTTAAGAAAAGCAAGATAGGACTTTGATTTTTTAAAGTTCTATAAACATACTATCCTTGCAAACACATTACCTATGTATTAATGCTAAATACTGCTATGAGCAGAAGTCTGTAATATCAGTCTGATACATATTAATGCTTCTCTTTAACTTTGCCTTTCAGTATTTTACTGTAGGAGCCCTACTACATAATAGCCATTTAACAGAAATGAGAACACACACGTTTACCTTAGAATAAAATGTTTCTTGTCCAGAGTTAATATGAATCATATTTTATTGCTATATTACTGATGCATAACTTGTTTAAAGATTACTTACAAAGTGACTAGAGCAACGTCATATGGCTTAAGTTACTTATTTGCTCTGGTTGCCTTTTAGTGTAGATGTGTCTCAAAGAATCTGTTTTGGGATTCCTTCTGCCATGACTTGAATGGTTGGGGTCAATAATCTTAAAGGTCTTTTCCAACCTAAATGACTCTACGATTCTACAACACCATCACATTCAATGGGACCATCTCAGTATCTGTCCATGCATTCTGTAAGCCATCCTAAATTTGGTTCAGCACCGCTCTTGATCCCTGGGCTAGTTAGTTTAAAGCCGCCATGTCTGTTTACCTGACACTGGAGTTCAAGGGACTTATGCCTGATCCAAATTTTAAGCCAGAGCGTACGCTAATTATTTAGCATCATACCAATTACGAATCAAAAGGTCTTCTATCAGTTTTCAAAGTAAAGTTTAATATTGAGTTTCATTACTTTAGTATTAGCAACACAATATAAAACACACAGTCATGGTACATGGCCAGGACAATCAGGTTTTGAGTAAACTGAAAACGAAATGCATAGTGCTGTGACTGCAAAGTAGACAGAACAGCAGCAAGCTGGTATGAGCTCAATGTGGGGATGGAACCTAGAAGAGAAGAGCACCCTACAGATTTTTTGGCTCCGTTTTCTTCTCTCTTACTTCACGCGCACATGGGAAGGCAAGCAGGAATACTTCAGAAAGTAGTTTCTTTAAAAGTTTTAAGTTTCTTGCTATCGATACTTACCCAAGGATTTTAATTTTCAGCTCTATTCAAATTTAATCACACCAAATAGTTAGGATCTATTATTTATTCCTCCCATAGTAACTCACTGTACAACTAACCGGACTTTCATAGTGGCTAAACCTTCTTTTAAATTTTTAATTTTTAAGCTGATTTTTAAATTAGTTAAACTTCTTGGACTCAACTTCCTGTCTGCTCCCCATTTAAATAGTGTTTAGCTTATGAGATGGCAGTAGCAGATTTACTGTCTTTCATTATGGTCAGCAATCCATATAATTAAATGGACTAATTAGTAATTAAGTGCAATCACACCACTTTTTTCAGCTCAAAGAATCTACTTATTGTATGCTGCTGGTGTAAATTGCATATTAAATCTATCTAGACACTGACACACTTAAACATCCCTACAGAAATGTGTTTAGAATTACTTGTTTCTAGTATCTTATGATGTAAAGCACCATTTGAAGAAAGATAAAATAGTATTGTAAAAACTTCACAAAGGACATAGTAAGATTTCTGATCTTGGAAGCACAAGGGAGGTATACTCATCCAGCAGCCCACTGAGGCAGGCACTTGACTTCCATTTCTTTCTTTGAATGTTAAGCATGTGCTTAATATGCTTTTCAGAACAGTGATATATTTAAGCAGGTGTTCCATTTCAAAAACAGTAATAGTCAGATTAAGATCAATAGACTATCAATTTGCTTTTAAAATCATGAACGTTCTTAGAAATATTTTTGGTGGAAAAAAACCCCCTCAAACTGTGAATACCGATAAACACACGCATCTCTATGCAAGGCTCAATTAAATGTAGTCTGTAAAATCCTAGGTCCACTAATACGCATGTTTATTTTAATCTGCTGCTCTTTTCAGTCACATGGGTTTTTTTTTAAAAGTTACATCCTAAGAAAACAGTACGGAGTTTTCACATTTAGTATCCACATAGAAGGAAAGAGCTAAATTTATTACAGCAACTGAGAGCAGTTCCAAGACCTTACTGTTACCAAATCTATTGCATTTATGGGGTTTTCCATTTTATAAGTTAACATATGTAGTAAATACTTGAAAGTTTTATCTACACTAGGAAAAAGAATCAGGTATATAATTCCTCCCTGTTGGAGTTTCACTGGTAGCAGAGATGATGGAAGCCATAAGCAGTGTAACTGCCCTTTAGAAAGGTGGTAAAAATACTAAGAACAAGTTTATGCATCAATTTTGCTTAGGTTAATACAGTCCAAAGGGCATGTATGCAAGTAATTTAAAAAACCAGTATTTTAATCAACATATATATTATCTGTGAATCAAATCTCTAGCACAACAACAGTCAGGAAACACTCTAAAGCTGAGTCCAATTCATTGGGAAAAATACTTAAAACCTCTTTTGAATGGTTCAGGAATAGTTTCAGGCAGCTGAATAGAGGTGATGGATGTTTAAATATATTGATATACATAGTAGTATATTTAATGGATTCTAAAGTAATAATACTGGCTTGTTTCAAACAAGCTTCTGGTTAATATACAACATTTTAATCAGTGTCCTGCGTGCTCTACAGTGCTATCATAGATAGGACTTAAAAATACTGAAACAGTTCACCATTGCCTTTTCTTTTCTCCAAGTGCTAGCATTACACTTTCTCCACAAAGTAGATAATTAACATTTGAAATCATGGCTCCGTATTATTATCCTTATTTTACAGAAATACCACTGATCAAACCAAAGTCTTACTGCTATTTAACTACAGCTCTTCTCTACTTTTTCAGCTGCGTTCTCCCCTATTAATTTGTAATCACATACCAGCTGTTTCACTTGCTGTAATATACAATGCAGGGTGCCATCTATTGAAAAATGAATACACAGACTAACTAGTAAAAGAACAAGCTGGAGAGGGAATACAAAAAAAAGAGGATAGTAACAAGCAATGGAGTGAATGCTTCACAGCTCCACAGGAATTCTACCAGGTTTCAGTTGTTTAACTCAGTCACAACTTAGTAACTGAGGAATTGATGAAAAACAAAGCACAATAAAACCTGTGATTGGTAAGTTTGTATAGAGTCGAGATCTTCTACATTACAAATAGATACTTAAAACATATTCTGAAAAATCAGGGTTATAATTTAAAATGCTATGATGAAGAATAGCAAACTTTCCACGCTTTAAACATTTCATCCAAAACTGGTTTGCAATAGAAAACTGAACTAGACTGGGTACGTTTTAGGAGAAGAAAACATCAAAGCTATCATGTCTTACAAATGCTTTCCAAATGTTAGCTTTGCATGTCATGCAGTGGCCAAATTAAGAGGTAAAGCTCTTCTACTGCACGTACCTCGTCATTAGCAAAGAACACAAAACCACATCAATGTAGACAGTAAATATGCCAAATCCACCCTCACAGAATTCCTAAATATCACTAATTCCTTGTTCCTGAAAAGCTATCCTTTCACAATGTGCAAGAAAAGCCACAGAAATGGAAAATAAAGCCTACAAAGGTGCATAATAATTTTGCCAGCAATTTCAGTTGAGACAGGATGTTACACAAAAGCAGCAAAATATTCAGAGATGTGATTGCCAGAACCTGCTGAAATGTTTTTCTGCATTATAGCAACTGGGCCTTGCTTTCAGAAGCTATAACTGAAATTCAAACCCAAAGTACCTACATAAACCTAAAATAAAGTATTTTAGTGAACTTCCCTTAATTTGAAAAAATAAATATGCTTTCCTCCTTGACTTCTTAAACTATGACAAAAAACATTTAAGCTTTCTTAGAGGGGAAGAATAGGGTGCTGCTTATACCTCAGATTAAGAGAAAAAGTAGATAATTTTTCCACAGTGAAGTATTTCTCTCTTCAGCTTTTTAATTAGTCCATTTGTCGTATTCTCTGCTGTACATTAAAAACAATTAAAACAATTACGTGCCCTATTCAACTGAGATCAAGGTAGAAAGCAAGCAATCTAGGGGGCAACTTACAATTAATGGCAGCTTTGAAATAGATATAGACGCAATTAATATCTAAATGAACTGAAATTTGTACAAGCATATCCACTGCTTCCATCTGCTTAAATTCCCGCCCTTTCACTGGAAAAGTGCCTTGCATACGTACTTTAGTATCAGGAAGAACTGACAAGAGATGTTTTCTTAAAAGAAGGCTGATGAGATACTTCATAAAATGTATTAATCCTGTCTCAAAGATTTTTGCAAAGTGGGTTCACTAAATCGTTACCATTTTTTGAGAAGTACAGTATTTATAGAAAGGTACCTGGTGAGGACCTCTGACGGTTGTCCCAGCAGCTTCTAAAGAAGAGAAAATTACTTCAGGTACAGCTTGCATTGTGTGCTTAGGTACAAATGTGAAACCAGTGTCTGCTGTTTTTAAACATGTTTTGTCACGGGTATTTTCTATGGGCATGTTTGCATGATTTTGGGGGTTTGTTTTGTCAACAGTAGTTAAGCTTTGTAAAGCTGAGGTCATGAGATCAACTCCATGAGCTTCAAATGAGTTAGGTTCCAATTTACTGAGGTTAACAGCACGGTCTCTGTGCTCCAGGTTAAAATGATGATCTTGAAGCATCTTTTCAGCTATACCAGTACAAGGAACTGTTGGTTTTTCCTGAGTGCTCTGCAAGAAAGCAGAGTCATTGTCTGTAGGTGGAAACTTGACATTAAATTTAGAAAGTGATTCTACAGAGTTGTTGTCCTCATCTTGGCCCACTCCTCTTGGTGTGATAGATGTGATGCATGATGCACCTCTATTTATATCCTTTATAACCCGAGGCTTAAAAAGCTCTTCTGCTTGTTCATCAGTTTTATCAGTACACTGTATCGGCATGGAAAACTGTATTTCTGTGAAGAAAGAATGAAGAAAACATTAAATAGTCCACTGAAGTACATACAGTTACTGAAGTTTGGTGTTGGTATTTTTCCTGAGAGGCTTTTGAACTTCCTTATTGACTTGTTAACCTTTATTTTTATTTATTTGAAATCAGTTTGAGGCGTAGCTCTGACACAAAAACTACCAGAACAGAAATAAAAGGAAATAATTCTGTCCTAATAGTTGTTTTTCTCTTTGATTTATGGCTACAAACATTTTCATTTTACTGAAAATTATGTTGTCCCATATTCTTAACACATACTTGCATATATTTACTGAAGTGCTCTGGCAGAAATAGAAGCTGGAACCAAAACCATTTCACATGGTGTCAAGAAAATGCTAGGCACCATAAGCACAATTTTAGAAGGTATTCAGGTACCAAACTCCCATTGGTTTTCAAATTAGGTAAATATTAAAACTGAATAACTACTCATAAGTGGGACCATATTTTCCCTATGTTTTGATAATTCCTCCTTAATCTTCAGCACTTTATGAACAAAAATTGTAGTAATATACACAGTCACTTCTAATAAGGTGAGAGAATAACTTCCGTGCACATTTCTTGCACAGCAGCCTTCTGACATCTCTCAGGTGATCATCACTGTTTTCACACAGTTGAGCTAGGCACTTATTTAAGGAAAAAAAAGCCATTCTGCAAGAAGTAACCAAGCCCTCATACCTCAAAATTCTCACCCCCAAATAATAAAGTTTAGTAGTGTACAATCAGAATATAACAATACAGTTCGGACGTAGCAATTTGAAGCCGCAAGCTACACATTAGCACTTCATGTAACAAAACTTCAGCAATGGTATAACCTGAATTAGAAGCAAGTGCTGAAATCAGCATCTTTTGCTTCAACTGTGTAAGTTTGGCAGGTGCTTTCTGAAACCATTTCAAAATGGTCTGATCCTACTATTAAGCAAAGCTAGTAAGGAATGCGTACAGTAGCTTACGTTATATTAAATGTCAGCAATAGCAGAACCAGACATTCAAGATCTCTTCCAGTTGCAACAAAAATCAAGCCTTTCTTCTGTTTTCAGGAAGTGCTGGATTAGGCTCTTGTTCCATATAACAAAACAATATTCAAAAGTCTGGACAAGGAAGCCTAGAAAATAAGTCCTCTGGCTCTCCTCAGTCCTGCAGTTTTCCTCTAAGAGATATGGGGCTAGAGACATTCATAACAGACATCTTTTGAACTGACAGCTAAATTAAAAGCAAGCAAGCGCTGTCATTCACACAGTATGATGGGATATCACATGTAGTAAGTGCCTGCCTCTCACTCCAAGGGACAAAACAATTACAAGAGCCATTGATGTGATGACTGTCTTTTATAGCATGTTATTTGGAGCATTCGTCATAGAATGCCAAAACTGGCGGTGCGCTTTCTTGGTGAAATACTGAGCACCATGTGAACAGACTTGAAAAAGGCAGATGGTAAACAGTGAAAGTACTTCTATGTATGTGTAATTTACAGTATTTTCAAATATAAAGCAAAGCTTTCAAACAGTTGAATCACAATAAGAGCTTAAGTATGATATTACCAGTTTCAGGTTCTGGCTTTATCTTAAATTTACTCAGTTGGTCTGTTTGTTCTCTGGCTAGCACACATATTCGATGACACTCTTCTTTCATGTCCTGGAAAATAGTCTCCAGATTCTCCCTGGAAGATGAAAATGGTAAATTAAGGAGTCAATCCACTCAGCTTGTTGTGACCTTTAATCTAGTCACATCCACAAACCAGGTAACAACAATAGTGTAAGCTACTTTTCTTGGATACGTTTTTCCTCAACATATGTGTACACATTTTTGTTCTCAGTAAAAGCAAGCAGAAAAGGGAGAAGAAAATGTTGTCAAAGAGCTGTTCAGTCATATCATGCACACATACACTCAAGTTTAGGGCCTGACCCTGCTAGGGCCTCCCTCGAAAAATCCAGCCTTTAAATTTCTTTCCCTTCCCTCAGGAATTTTGTGGAACAGCTTATCTTTCACAAGGATACTGTTTGCATCTCATTCTAGGGAAAATAAGATGCTGCTGCTGTGAACATGAATTGTTTTCTATTGTTTTCTGTGCACTTCAGACTTAGCAGGAGAAGGAACACACAAGCATTTGTTACTGCTCCTTCTTTCTCTGTCTACCTGACATTTTGGAGAGGGACTCGTGAACTCATCCTTCTCTGTTTTATACAATATCCCATGACTTTTCCTTTTATTTTGAGGGATTTTTTAAAAATGGTATCTTTTCCAGAGCATCATATGGACATCCAGTATTTAGTTATCTGCACTGAGAATGGTAAAAATAGTTCTTTTGTGAGTTTTATTTGCCCAAAGGCACTACGTTATTCAGTTATCGATGCATCCAGAAAATTCCACTGTGAAATTTTAATAAACTTGCTGAGTAATTTCTATTTCTAAACACAATATAATGGATTTTATAAAATGAACTTAAAGGATGAAAAAAGTTTGGAGACAAACTGGATTTGTGTTCTTTTTTGCATCTTTGTATCAAAAGAGCTCAAAAGGGATTTTTCTTTAACCCAGGGAACTGTTTTCCTTTTTATTGCTTATTCATACAGCAATTAAAAGTGTCACGAGCTGTGTTCCTACTTCTGCTGTGCTTCTCTTTTTGAAGACACAAATGTCTATTTGTATCTCATTGGAAAAAAAAAAATCTACAGAAGGAGTTAAATTTGCTACTGTTAACACTTACATTCTGACCATTTTCAGGTGTTTTGATAAATAAGAAATTAAAAAAGACTCTGAACAGAAGTTTCTAATTGGAGCTTTAAAATATACATATGATTAGATGAATCAATTGTAATTTGCTAGACATTTGTGATACTATAATCTTACAAGTGTAAGATTACCAGTAATCTTACCAGTCACATACCTCTTTCCAAGAAAACAGTAAAGTAAGGGAGCTATTTGAGAGGAGGGAGACAGAAGACAGGTAAAAGTTTTTCGTTTTTTACATATAAATCAGTAAAGACAAAAAAGTCTTTATACCATCACCGTCTTATTTCCTCTCTTTCTTATCATAAAGCAGTAGTGAGTCAGAATAAAGATCCACGTAGTTCACCAGGCCTGTGTCTGAAAGTGGCTAAAAGCAGATGCCTAGGCAAGAGTATAAGTAGACAGCAAGAGTTTACGATATACTTTTCCCCAGTATTCTCCTAGCTTCACCTTAGAGAATCTTCTACTTGACCTCAGCAACACTGTTAGAAGTGGTAATACTGCCTATCCTGTGAAAAAGGCAAGCCTAAGACTTTGGTCACTATTTTTTCCCCAAAAACACTGGCAGAAGAGGGAATACTTGCTTGGGAAATAAACTGCTTTTAGTCCCTTGGCCATAGCAAGGGCTGACTGGCTTCAGCTTACAGGTAAACCTGGTTTCAAACTCTCTCATTTAGGAAGGATCAGGCCAAACATGATTTCTTCATGCTGACTATCAGACCTCCTCCAGTTAATGTACGGTTGTACATTCCTGTTCTGAAGAGAGCTAATGCAAGGGAGTTAATGCTTATCCAAAATGCAGCATTAACATCCACTGTTGTTTCCCACAAAGTTCAACCTGCTGCTGAATCAAGTGGCTATTTTGATTTCTCCCAACTTATCCCTACATATTTGCAAAGTCCCAGCTACGATTCCACATAGTTGCTGGCTTTATTACCTTCCCACATCACCTCTTTGACCTCTGCTGCTCTCACCCTCCACCACCCTCATCCATTTTTTTAAGATACTGTGTAGAAAAGAGGGAAATAGCTCATCTTCTTTAATAGCAGGAAAGACAATTAAAAGGAAATTTAAAAAATGTTGTAAAAGTACTTACCTTTCAGGCACAGGTGAAATACCAGAGATCCCCAGAGAAAATTCAGTCTTATCTGGAACAACTTTCTTACTGCTCACCTTGAAGTAAAATATGAAAATACTGATTACAGGTTAGCATATTAATTTTGCTCTTCACCCTGATATGAATAAAAATGTCACGGGATCCTTCACCTAGTCCTTCTGGAAGCTCTCAAAACATTCACAAATGACAAAACCTTTTTTCTACTGTTTGTGTGAAATTCCTATTTTTAGTTTAACATAGCAACTCAGCGTGGCATTCCTTTGCTCATATTCCCTTGAAAGGAAACTGGTTTTAAGACTATTGCTTGACTGTAATCATGTCTAAGGTAAGATTATGTATTGTGTATAAGCTTAGGGAGGTATCCAGCTATTTTAGCTCTTAAAAATCAATTTATACACTGAAAATTTCATTGAACACATCACAGGCGAGTATGTCAAGACTTACAGCACGTTTTTAAATAAGTTATTAACTTTGACTACCACCTTGTGGTTTGCTCTAGTATTACATACTTTTAAATCTGCCAGGCATTAAGAAAAGTTTTTTATAATAATCAGTCATTAAGCTGCAGTTCCACTAAGATCTACATTACCAGATGGCCTGGGTAGTTCATATGTGCTCCAAATCCGACACAGAACTTGATCATATGTCATATCAGCTGATTTAAATGATACACTGTTCATAATGACAGAGCCATTGCCTACAGGTTTGTCTTACCTTGCACTGAAGTGCACCTGCAGCTCCTGTGGACACATTTGAGCTGCAATACATCTAGCAACATGGGTTACAAATGATTGCCACAGTAACTTAAGTTATGCTTGGGAAGTCTAATAGCAACAAGTTATGTGTTGCTGTGCTCCTACCCTTATCTATATTCACTTTAAACTACCTAGCTAAAATACGTTTACATGGCTAGATTCACACTGGTGACTGCACTCTAGCTATCCCACAGGGACAGACTAGCACTCTGCATGCTATTCTGTAACTAAAATAGGGTGGCGTGAAAGTGAAAAAATCAACTCAATCTTGGTGGAAACTTCCAAATGAAAATTATAAAACAGAAATGCTAATCTGGCGTTTTCACAAAGACTACATTTTTAACGGCGTAACATAAAAATAATTAACACGCAAACCAACCAATATGTATTTAATAGCGTGGCGTTCCCCATGTGCTTTATATACTTTAAATATTTCCTGGTAATTATGTAATGCTGAAATTTAAAATTAGTTTCTTAGAATAAGCAATATAAGCATGTTTGAAAGAAGTAATAATTTACAAAAGGATGGATTTTTAAAATTTTATCTCTGTTTGGTTTCTTATCTTACCTCCCTTTTATACGCTGGCATCTGTATACCCTTTTGCGGTTCATTAAATTCTTTCAATTTGCTTTTCAGAGTTCTTATTTTGTCTTCTTGGTTGGAAATAATAGATAGAAGCTTCCTTTCCTTTTGATTGTTTTTGTCCTCAAGTTGCTTCAACTTCATGCTTTCACTTTCTAACTCTTCCTAAAAAGTAATTTTGGAAACACCGGTACAATTAACAGAATTGAGGCTTGTGGAACAGCACTATTCAGTAGTCTTGGAATAAAGTAAATTAAACTTTTCCAACATAAGTAAGGGCCAGTCTTATTTTTTACATTATTAATTTTAAACTGGTAGTAAAGACCTTCTATGACTACACACATATTTAACTCATCATAGATGATTACTCAAAACAACAGTATGTTCTGAATTTATGAAAGTCATATTAGTGTTTATAAAAAGAAAAGACACTCTCTTGGTTCACTTACTATGTAATTTACATTAACATTTTATGTACAGCATATTGTATATACAACATAAAAAACAGTATTTCATTAATTTCAATCAATCTTAAGCAATTTTGAAGAAGGTGATATTCTGCAGCTACCTTAATTTTCAAGCAGACTCAAGAATAGAATCATAGAATATCTCGAGCTGGAAGGGACCCAGAAAGATCGAGTCCAACTCTCTGCTAGAGACCATATGTCTAAAGGCATCATTCAGACGCTCCTTGAACTCTGACAGGCTTGGTGCCATGACCACTTCCCTGGGGAGCCTGTTCCAGTGACTGACCATTGTCTCAGTACAGAACCTTTTCCTAATGTCCAATCTGAACTACCCCTACAACACAACCTCATTCCATACCAAGCTTCCACTCCAAGCTACCATTCTATTCCAAGCTTCATACCCCTACACCTACAAGCTTCATTCCATTCTTCTCGTGCTCTATTGCTGGTCACCAGAGAGAGGAGATCAGCACCTCCCCCTCCACTGCCCACCCTGAGGAAGTTGCAGACTGTGACGAGGGCACTCCTCAGCCTTTTCTCCGCTACAAGCTGAACAAACCAGGTGACTTCAGTCGCTTCTTGTAAGTCTTGCCCTGAGACCTTTCACCGTTTTGGTCTCCCTCCTCTGGACACACTCTAATAGTTTGATGTCCTTCTTCTACAGAGGTGCTCAAAAACTGTCTGCAGTACTCAAGGTGGGGCTGCACCAGAGCAGTGCAGAGTGAGACAATCACCTCCCTCGACCAGCTAGCTATGGTGTGCTTGATGCACCCGCGGATGTGGTTGGCCTTTCTGGCTGCCAGGGCACACTGCTGACTCATGTTCAACTTGCCATCAACCCAGACCCTCAGATCTCTTTCCACAGAGCTGCTCTCCACCCTCTCCAATTCGTACATATAACCAGGATTACATTGCAATAAAGATTTGTGAAATAAAAAGCAGTGGCTGGCCCCGCTTTAACTATCCATCTGGTAATTAATGGAATTTTTATGTATGTGGGCTTTTTGGTGGAATGAAGAAGAATATAACAAACTTTTTTTTTTAATATGCACAAAGTCAGTCATTGGACAATTTTCAAGAAACAACCTATGGTTAAAACCTGTGGCTATGAAAACCTCATATTTGTCAGTTTATGGTATCTATAGAAACACTGATCTTGAACTCTATCACGTGTCACAAAAAGTGGCCTGAAGCCCCATGTTTGTCTCTGCAAGAGAAATAAACTCAAAGGGTTAACTCTGCAAGAAGTAATGCAAGTGAAATGCAGGAAGAGAGTCTGTAGACAGGCAGGGCAAGGTGAAGAGGAAAGAAGCAAATAAGCACTTTTTCAAGAACCTAAATA